CCCACAATATACAAGAGTAAGACTTTATTTTGAGATATTATGCACTTGCCTGTATATACACTACTCAAAAAACCATACATCAGGACAAAAATATTTTTTGAAATAAAATTAAAATGTTAGAATAGATCTTGGATTTTTGGTATATGATTTGCTTTTTTATTTTTAATTTGTTAATATTTTGTGTGTAGCTCTTGACAGCTCACCAGAACTTGTTAAGTGGCCCTCCAGCTAAAATAATTGCTCATCCGAGCTGTACAGCATAGGCCATAAAGCCTTACCAGTAAGTTCTGTATTAAGCCTATAATTTCAGTTTGAGCTGTACTGTGTCTTTTAGAAAGATACCCAGTCTTGCTCTGAAAACTCCAGGTTGTGCAGAACATCTAGGCAAACTGCTCCAGTGGTTAATTACACTCACTGTGAAAACGTATGCATCTTTCTTCTACCTAAAATTAAGTTGTTTTCTACATGGCTATAGCTCAGTGGAATTGCCGAGTCTTGAAAACTGGCATTTACTTTTTAAAAAAAATTCTGCAGGGCAATGTATGTCTCTGTTAGAGCTTTGCCATGGTTTTTGGGGGAGTTTAGTTTGCGGGCTGTTAGTATGACATGAGCATTTCCATATTTTTAGACTGGTAAATAGATCCTGTGCCTGTTGCTCATGGGGATGATTAAATAAAATAAAGCATGAATCTTTTCTTGGCTCCATCTTCCAGTGCCTGTTCTGTTGAGACATACTTCTGTATAAATGAAGAATAACTAATGGTCAATGAGTTAGTTCAGTGCTGCTCAACCTTTTGGCCTGTACCACCAGCATTAGGCACCGTGGCATCCCTGAATGTCAGGATCTGGCCTGAGAGTCTTGCACTACCCCTGAATGCTGGGGTCAGGCCCTGGGTACAGGAATTGGAGCCCTGTGCCACACTGGGATCAAGCCCAGGGCCCCATGCTGCCTCCATCTGGCCCCCTGTGCTGAGATCAGGGAATCAGAGTCCCGTGCTTCCCCGTGTCCTGCCCCGGCCTCCTGCCTAGCCCCATGCAATGGGGCTCTGTGCTACCCTCATACTGGGGTCAGGCCCTAGTGCACCAGGATCAGGCCCTGGGGCCTGTCTGTAGGGTCATGCTCTCTGGCCCATGGGGTTCCTCACTGGTTTGGAAATCTGGCAGCAAAGGAGAGAAGAGAACCCAGATTGTTCTTTGCTAGATGAAGTGGGCCAGATTCTTGTCACTGGTCCAGCTGCTTTGTGTTGTTCCAGGGTTACAAAGCTATCAAAAAGCTGTTAAATCAGCTTGTAAGAAGAATTCCCAAGCAAACCAGAGCTTATATAATACCTTTATGCAACATCATATCCTGGTACCCAACAGCTGTGGCATTTTTGGTAGAGAGGTTTTTCCTAAGCCTTGGCAATTCCAGGTACCATAATGATGCCTTGGGCAGCTGGAAATAAGTCACAGTAGTTTAAAGGCTCCTATGGCTTATGCTGGTGACTGTAAGGCAGGGGTGGGCAAAATATGGCCTGTTCCTCGGCCCCACCTGGCTCAAGCGTGAGGGACAGCCTGAGCTGTGGTATGTGGGTTGGTCTTGATGCCTCTGAGCACAGAGGTACTGCCTGGTGCATCCTGCTGTCCCCCCATGTGGCTCTTGGGCACTGTAGTCTGTGGGGCTGGGCAGCAGGGCAGGGGTGATGTGGTAGCTGGATTTGGCTTCCCAGGAGGCCCCACTGTTGCTGCCAGACCCCAGGCCCATCTGCCCTGCACCCTCTACCAGGGGCACCGGACAGAGCGGGCAGGTAGGCAGGGTCTCTATGGAGACTGGCCTCTTACCCTAGTGGGCATGGTGAACTGGGCCAGGTGGATGGGATGGAGCCACAAGTAAGCGGGGAACAGCATCCAGGATAGCAGAGTGGTGACTGTACGGGGCCAGGGCTTGGGACAGAGCTGTGATCTGCTCCCCTCGTGTCCCTGGGATGGGCACTGGTTCTTCAGGGAACTGGCACCTTTTGCAGGGACATACAGGGAGCAGATCATGGCTCTGCCTTGGGCTCTGGCTCTGTACTGTCACCACCCTGTGATTCCAGTCCCACCCACCCATCACACTCCTGGATGCCACTCTGCCCATCCGCAGCCCCATCCCATCTGTCCGGCCCAGAGCACTGTACCTGCAGGGGTCCCAGGACAGTCTCCATGGAGACCTGGCCCACTCCATCTAGCACCTGTGTGGTGGGTGCAGGGCAGATGGGCCTGGGGCCAGATAGGCTATGACATGGGGCCAAGGCCAAGTCAGCACCCCCACCACTACCCACCTAATCTGGCCTTCAAGAGCTCACCAAAACTCCTTAAGTGGCCCTCCAGCCCAAATAATTGCCCACCCCTACAGAGGGACCCCAGGGTCACTGGATATGAAAATAACCTCCCTTCTTTTTGTTCCCTTGGTGATCTCAGCTTGGTTGCTTTAGAGTTTCTGACCTAGGATATATTGATAGTATTCTTCAAACTCAGAGCTTGTGGTTTCTGTAAGATATGCAGTGCTCTTATAGTTTACCTAAGGTTTATGCACTGAAACTTTTATGTCTTCTTTTATGTATTTGTATAACTGTGTTATACTAAATAAGTTACTGCCTGGTTGCAAGGTGCTTAAAACCACGTTGAACTACTTTTAGACAAAAACTGAAGATAACAGAATTAAATTTTGTTTAATATTAACATGCTGTATGTTTCTCCAATGACAGAGAAAAGCCTGATTGGAAGATACATGTTCAGTGATTATGATAGTATTTTTTTTTTTTTATGGAACAGTATCCCACATCAGAGGTTCCCAAACTTTTTCTTGTTGTATACCCCTTTCCAGATTTACCTGCTTCCTGTATACCTTACCAGCATATATTTGTATACCTGTATTTATATTTTTGTATATAAATACAATATAAATGTATATAAATACAATATAAATACCTGTATTTATATTTTTGTATATAAATACAATATAAATACCTGTATTTATATTTATATTACCTGTATTTATATTTGTATACCTGTATTATATTTGTATACCTGTATACCTTACCAGCATATATGTGCATATTATGCATATGTTTTATATTTTAACCCCTTAAATGCCAATTATTATTATAATGAAAATTAAATCCACCGTTATACAATTTCTTCTGCATACCCCCCAAAGATGTCTTGCATACAATATGCATGACACAGTTTGAGAAACCCTGCCATACATCATTCTCCAGTGAAAATGATGCTGCCATAACATACAGTTTTGTACTAAAGGAAACAACACAATTTTGCCTACATTGTGTTTTCAGGACTGTTTTACTGTGTGTTGTTTTTCCAACTTCTCTTTAAATAGCCAATTTAAGAAAAGCAAGATTTAGAAGGGCAGTATTTTTCTATAACATTGCTTGCTTCTGCATCTTAGAACCTGAGCACACCATAAAGGTGTATTAATAATTTTGTTTGTGGCAATTGCAGTTTAGAAAAGCTTATCTCATGTAACTTGAGAAAATCCCATCATCATGGGGTTAAGAGAATGGGGGATGAATAGGGAGCATTAAGGTAAAGTTTCTATTCCTTTTCCTTGCAGAATAGCCTTCATGGTTTGGGTTGAAAAGGTGTCTCGGTTACTTCCCTAGAAAACAGCAGGGGACCCAACAAATCATGGACATTAACCTTTTTTTCAGTTGAATCATGGACCAGCATTTAGGGTGGTTGAGTGAAGTCCCTGATTATTTTTTGAGGAAATGAGGCAGTGCTGCTGAAAGGGACATCTGACCATGTCAGCTTTTGCCAGTATTATTTTCCCTTCTTATTTGCTTAATGGGATAACTATTTGAGATAGTTAATTTCTATTTTTACTAGGGTGCTGAGAACACAGAGAAAACTCCTGGGAATTAGAAGTCTATATGTAAAAAATAGAAACAATAAATGAAAGCGGTATCCCTTTACCTGTGTTTGAAATTTGCCTTTATCACTTAGGTGCTGTGCTTGTACAACAGGAAGACAAGGTATCAGATTTTAAATGCAGGTAGTTAATCTGTTAAGCTGACATGCTTTTCACACTAGATGTCAGTGTTAACATACCTGATCTGCAGTTTCAGGTGCTTGCTCTGCTGTGAATGTACCTGTGCAAAATACTTTGTAGTTACAGTGATTGTTCAGAATGTCAAGGAGATTAGAGGAGGTGTTATAAATTGGGCCTTTAATAGGAGGTCACTGAATTCACCTGTACATTTTTCCCATAAAGCTTGGAGCCTTTTTGCTGTTGGTGAAATTAAATAAATAAATAAGAATTTTCTGGTATTTTCTGAATGAAAATACCTGTATGTTTCATATTGCAGCTTTTCACATACGTGATTTGTCTTTCTTCTTAGTTCTGGACAGAAGAGGCTTGAAGAAAACACCAAGTATAATTACTTTAGAATTTATTTTTAAATGCACTAGGTATTGCTGTTAGGATGTTGTAATTTGTTTCATGCTCTGCAATTGTGAATTTGATGATTAGCAATAATTCATAAGATCAATCTGGACCCCTTGTAGCATGTTATTTTAAGAAGGCTATCACTAGAATAAGCAAATGTGAAGATTACTAGAGTCTGGTAGTTGTGCAGATTTCTATCTTTTAATTCTAGAAAGTTGCATACCCGCAGAAGTTGTTGCTGCTGTTGATGTGAACACTACCGCCAACGAAGTCTACAAACACAATTTTCCAAGTACACCTTTGTGGGCAAAGACAATTGAGGTGAGTAATGGATGTTTTGCTTTGTGCTCATTCTGAGAGGCTAATGTCCCAACTGCTCACATTTCATAGAAAATGTAGAATCAGAACACTTTAAATTGAGAGACAGTGATTTAACGAGATGGCTTTAATGGGTTACTTTTTCTACTGATTGCTTGAATCCTCATGGTTTGCTTGCTGCTTGAAGTAGAGAGAAAAAGAGTACAGATAGATTTCATATGGATTCTAGGTTACTGGAAGGGATTTTTTTAAGGGGTGCACTGATAGAGATTTGGGGGGCCAATACCAATAGCCGATATTTAAGGACGCATATCGGCTGATACTGATCCAATATCTGATACAGCTGCCATCATGTGGTAAGTCTGTTGTGGTGGAAGGGGGTGGGGAAGGGAAGGGGCATGGGAGGGTAGATCAATGCCCCTGGCAGTGAGGGGGAGGGCAGGGGCAGGTGCTGCCCAGCCAGGGCTGAGGGGCGTGGCGTGGGACAGAGCCACGGCTTGTGGAGTGGGGGCAGCTCCCGCCTCTGCTTGCACCCTGGGAGGGCAGGGGGACTGTGTACCACTGGATCTGCGAGGTGCAGGACAGGTTGCAGCTGCGGGGTGGAGCCGGAGCTGGCGCTGTGCGGGACTTTCCTTACTGGGGGTGGGCTTGGAGCAGACTCTTGCGGCGCTGGGAGTAGGCTGCATCCACCCCAAATTTTGCTGCAGCACGGGCACTTATCAGCCAAATTATCGGCCCCATCGGGCCGATATCTGATATAGACAATTTTCTTTATATTGGTACCGATCTGATGTTGACCGATGTATCAGTGCACCTCTAGATTTTTTTTTTCTCTGAGGGCATTTATACACATACTTTTTTTCTAGTGATGTGCCAGAGATCCACTGCTCCACATGCAAGCTGAAATGAACTGCATTGCGCTGCATGCACTTGTATAAGTAGTGAAATGCGCGTCAGCCTGCAGAAAATGGCAGCGGGGCACTTTTGAACTAAAGCACCTCAGAGGTGTTTTCAAAAGCATGCTGCTGTCATTTTCTCAGTGCTGATGTGCATTTTGCCACTTATATAACTGCATGCATCGCAACACCTGCTGCTTTTCAAAGCGCCTAGTGCTGCAACGTGTGCATGTGTAAAAATGCCCTGAGTGTCAGTAATGCTGAATTATAAAGGGGATTTGGACAAAAAGGAGAATGCTCACCAGCCCCAAAAGAAATGGACTCATAAATAATTATGTTAATATTTTAAAATAGAAAGATTATACTTTTGAAATACATTATAAGGGTTTTGTTAAATCAGTAAGGGGCCATTTTCAGAACTGGGCTGGATAAAGTATTAGAGAATATACTGTGGAGGACAGTACTGCATTGTTAGGGGAGTAGATAGATCAGGCAACATAGTAGTTCTCTTCCTTCTTGAACTTCACTGAAAAAGAAACGTGAAAATCAGTTCCAGTGCCTATAAAAAGGCTTGACATTTTATGAGTTCGTTACAACAAAATTGGCAATTTTTTTAGTTTTTATAATACGCCAGAAGAATGCAAAATTACCATGTGCTTTCCATTATTTTCTGTCTTCTTCAGAGTAGTTAGAAATTACAGAGTGCTTTTTAATCTTCTTTTACAGCTTTATGGCTTGATAAACAATTCTGAACTACTGGTATGTACCAGTTTAAAGAAAAAGCAGAGTAGGTGACTAAAGGTTAGCTGCTTATTTAGCACGTGGTATTAGCTGACTAGTGTCAGCTCAGAGGTTCTTTGATGGGGGAGGGAGGAAGAAGAGGAATTACTTTCTCTACCCTTCATGGCGTGTGAGAAGGCTGAAATCCATAAGGTCTTCCTGAAGCACTGGGGGGAAATGGCAATATTTTTCTTGCCCTGTTATGGAATTATTGTTATATAGCTCACCCATGAAGTACCTCCAGTTTTCTTTCTGCCTGATGCTGCAGCTTGGCCAATCATGAAATTTCCTTTTACACACAGACACGCGCACAGACACATGCACACGGACACACACATGGACATGCACACACACACGGAGACACACACACACACTCTCCCTCTCCCTCTGAATTAAATTTGAACATGAATGAACTTGTAGCTCTGGTAATGAATCTGTTGCATGGATTTTGTTCCAAAAAAGGATTGAATCTCTTTTGGGGTGTACAATTGAAAACCATAAAATCAGTTTTCTTATGATTTTACAAAAAAAGGACCAGAATACAGGAAACTATTTACAGCGTGTCTGTGAGGAAGAAACATCTTTAGCAGAATAATAAAACCCTTCCTGTTAGGGTTTCCCAAGAGTTAACTTATACTTTGTGACTTGGAAAGAGATTTTCTGTTTGTAGTGGTATGCCTGGGTGAAGCGGAACTGAAATATCTTATAAGTGCTGCTTAAACATAGTTTTAAATCTGGTGGTGGTTTAAAAGCATCTTTCTTTCACTTAGAACTATAGCTTCACCCCAACTTTGGGGAAAATACTTTTATAGTATCCCATTTTATCCAAAACAGTTATAACACATCATGGTAGAGAAACAACACAGTAATGTCATTACCATCAACATCCTTTTGTTGAACAAGGCAGGGAAGCCATAGGAAAAACAGCCCTTGGGGACTGTGCATCCTTTGCAGAATGTAGAGCAGCACTGTCTTTCTTAGTATGGTAATGTTTGTTTCAGAATGGGGTAAGTCTCCTTGTCAAAAGAACCATGGTAGGCAGAGTGCTATGGCACCATCTTCCTGATAGCACTGGTTCTCAACCTCATTAGATTGAAGACACCTCTCAGAAAATCACAGTCATAGAAAATTAGGGTTGGAAGAGACCTCAAGAGGTCATCTAATCCAGCCCCCCCATCAAAGCAAGGCCATCCCAACCTAGACTGCCCCAGCTAAGGCTTTTTCTAACTGGGTCTTAAAAAACTCCAAGAATGGAGAGTCTACAACCTCTCTGGGTAACCTGTTATTAAATCCCCACTCAGTCTTCTCTTCTCCAAACTAAATTAGCCCACTTCCCTTATCCTCTCCTCCTAAGTCATATACCCCAGCCCCCTAACCATTTTTGTTGTCCTCCACTGGACTGTTCCCAATTTGTCCACATCCTTAGCCAGTTGGTTCCCAGTCTGTACTGGTGCACAGGACTGTTCCATCCAATAAGTGCAAGACTTTGCAGTTCTCCTTATTGAATCTCATGAGATTTTTTTGGGGTCTAATCCTCCAATTTTTCAAGGTCTCTTTGAATACTAGCCCTACTCTCCAGTATATTTACTACACACCCCCAGCTTGGTGTTAATTGCAAACTTGCTGAGGGTGCACTTCATCCCATCTTCCAGGTAATTCATGAATATACTGAACAAAACTGGCCCCAGGACTGACCCCTGGGACACTCCACTTGATACAGGCTGCCAACTAGACATCGAACCATTGACTACTACCCTCTGAGTCCTATGATCTAGCCAGTTTTTTGTCCCCCTTACACTTCATTCATCCAACCTGTACTTCCTTAGCTTGCTTGCTAGAATGTTGTGGGAGACTGTCAAAAGCTGTGCTAAAGTCAAAGTACTGTATATCACATCCATTGCTCTCCCCACATCTACAGAGCCAGTCTATGGATCATAGAAGGATCATGGATCCCATCAAAGAAGGCACTCATGCAGTCTGACTTGCCTTTGGTGAATCCATGCTGGCTGTTCCTACTCCAAGTGCTTAAAAATGGATTCCTTGAGGATCTGCTCCATGATTTTTTGAGGGACTGAGGTGAGGCTGACTGGCCTGTAGTTCCCTCAGTGCTGCTTCTTCCCTTTCTTAAAGATGGACACTATATTTGGTGTTTTCCAGTCATCCAGGACCTCTCCCAATTGCCATGAGTGTTCAAAGATGATGGCCAGCAGCTCTACAGTGACAACAGCCAACTCCCTCAGCACCTTTGGGTGCATTGTGTCCTACCCCATAGACTTGTACGCATCCAGCTTCTCTAAATAGTCCCTAACCTGTTCTGTCACCCCTGAGGGCTGCTCACCTTCTCCCCAAACTGTGCTGCCTGGTGCAGTAATTTGGGAGCTGACCTTGCCTGTGAAGACTGAGGTGAGAAAGGCATTGACTACTTCAGGCTTTTCCGCATCCTCTGTCACTAGATTGCCTCCCCCATTCAGTAAGGGACCCACCCTCTCTGATTTTCCTCTTGTTGCTGACATACTTGCGGAAACCCTTCTTGTTACCCTTTATATCCCTTGCTTGCTGCAACTCCAATTGCACTTTTGTGTTCCTGATTTCATCCCTGCATGCCCAAGCAGTGCTGTTATACTTCTCCCTAGTTGTTTGTCCGAGTTTCTGCTTATTGGCTTCCTTTATGTGTTTTAGTTTGCTGAAGCATTCCCTGCTAAGCCAAGTTGGTCTTCTGCTGTACTTGCTAGTTTTCCTGCACATTGCACTCGTTCGTTCCTGCAGAAAGGTTTCTTTAAAGTATAGCCAACTCTCCTGGACTCTTCTCCCCTCAGACTGGCTTCTCAGGGGATTCTGCTGATGAGTTCCCTGAGTCAAAGTCATCTTTTCTGAAGTCCTGGGTCCATACTCTGCTGCTCTTCATCCTTCCTTTCCCCAGGATCTTGAACTCAGTTATCTTGTGGTCACTGCTGCCTCAGTTGCCATTCACTACTACATTCCCCACCAATTCTTCTCTGTTTGTGAGCAGCAGGTCAAGAAAAGCACAGCCCCTAATTCCCTTTTCCAGTACTTGCACCAGGGAGTTGTCCTCAACACGCTCCATAAATTTCCTGGATTGCCTGTGTACTGCTGTATTGCCCGCCCAGCAGATGTCAGAGTGACTGAAGTCTCCCATGAGAATTAGGGCCTGTGATCAGGGAATTTCCCCTAGCTGTTTGAAGAGAGCCTCATCCATCTTGTTCTCCTGGTCTGGTGGTCTATAGCAGACCCCCACCATGACATCACCCTTGTTGTTCTCCCCTCTAACCCTAACCCAGAGACTTTCAAGTCTAAACTTGTAATTGCTTTTTGACTATGGAAAAACTATACAGCAATTTTCTGTTGCAGAGAACTGAAAGACTACACCAGGTCAAAATGTTTCTGACGCTGTGGATTCTTGTTGGAAATTTCTGGGTTTATTTTGTGAATCTCATGTCAGTATTTGCATGCCTGATAGTGCTAATATTTTGCATCATCTATAAAAGGATCTCACAGCACCCTAAAGTGCCAAAGCACCTTGGTTGAGAATAACTGTGTATTGATAACTTATAGGTTGCTGTTAGAGGTACACTGATACATTGGTTCATATCATATTGGCATCGATACAAGGAAATTGACATTATCAGCAGTTGGGTTTTTTTTGGCTGATGTGGCTGATAAATGCAGCTTGCAGAGCAGCATCCAGCTGGTAAGTCTGTTTGTTGTAGGGAAGGGGTGTGTGTGTGTGGGGGGGGGTGCAGATTGAGGCCCCTATGGTGAGGGAGGGATTGGGGCTGGGGTTGCAGTACGCACTGCCCAGCCAGTGTGGGGTGTGGGACAGAGCTGTGAGCCGCTCATCCAGGGGTTGCGGGGGGTGGGGGCAGATTCCACTCCTGTGCACACCCCTGAGGGAGTCATGGGGGGCATGTGCCCCCTGGATCTGTGTGAGGGGTGATGGTGGGCTGCCACTGCAGGCTGGGGCCAGGGGCAGCTCTGGGCTCTTTCCGGTGGGGGTGAGGGCTGGGCCAGGGCTGTGGTTAGGGTGGGCAGCTGCGGCACTGCAAGGAGGGGTTGGGTGGTGGGGACTACAGCAAATTTTGGGGTGGCTATAGTCCGCCCTGTAGGCCCCCCCCAGCACTGCTGCTGCCTGCCCAACCCCCTGCTTCTACCCCAGCCCCACTCCCTCCCTCACTGCAGGGGCCTTGATCTGTCCCCCCTCTCCTCTGCCACCCCTCCCCCCCAGACTTACCAGCTGGACACTGCTCTCCAAGCTGCCGAGCTGCATACCAGCAGTCGGATTCTTATTGGACAATATAGCTCGTTAATTATTGGCCATCTGTTTCAGCCCAAAAATTCTTCATTGGCGCACCTCTAGTTGTTGCAGTGGCTACAGACCATCTGCATTAATATTTTGGGGCCTAGGTTGTGAAATCTGTTTTCTCCCAAACTTTCCTAAAGGTCTTCTCTGTGAACCCCTTTATGTAGACTTTGGTGAGAGGATCAGAATTTGGTCCGTGTAAGGAACTTGTCATGTTTTCAAATAAAGCAATTATTTGAGATGCTTATAAAAGCAAATGACTAGGAAGAACAACATGCTTTTTAGAATTTGAATAATGCTTGCCTATGAAGTTATGTTTTGAAATACTATCTAGCCAGAAAAGGCTTACTATCTGAATAAAAGTGCTTTATTTTGGAGTGAATAATTATAGCCATCATTTTGATGTGACCCATTGAAAGAAATGAGAGCTATTCCTATTGCTCTGGGTAATTAACCACAAACCCAAGACTGTGTGTGTCTGCTGCCATTGCCAATTCCTTGTTAAAGTAGTAAATGCCGATCTAACTGCACAGCATTTGCCAAGCGTTAAAGAAGGGCAAAGCTATTAGAAGAAATGAATGAATTAAAAAGTGTTTACTAAGTTGATACCATGGGTGACTCTAAGATTTTGAAAAGTGGGGGTGGGTGCAGATAGAGTATTACATCACCACATACAGCCCAAAATATTTTTTCTCAGGTTAAAAAGAAGCTAGAAGATTTACTAATACTCTAGTGGCCCCATGCTATATTTTCCCATTGAAGATAAAGCATAAACAAATATAACTTAATTGGAATGTGTACTAATTTGCTAGTTTATATATTGAGCTTAAAAAACACGACAAACAAGGCAAAAATTGCCCACAGATTTTTCTTATTAGTCCTGCAGTTGTTATGGTTAAATGTGTATCTTGTCTTCAGATTTGTAAAACAAAAGCTATTCTTCTTGAGCTTCTTGACAGTGCATCCAGCACTTCCCTGTAAATCATTTCCACACCGGAGTTACTGCTCACCTGAATTAATATTACCACACCAAAGTAAAGGTTTTTAACTAGAATTAACAACAATGTGCAGGGCTGTGACATAGAAGAGAGAGAATACCAGAAATAGCTAACAGGCAGCAGGATTGCAGAAAAAAGACTAGCTTGATTAAAGGAACATCAAGACCCTTAAGAAGGAGAGTGGGTTGTTAACATCTGTGGAGAGATTAGCAGGAATCAGATCCATTATAATAAGCTATGAAAAGTATTGACTCTCTCTGTACTGCCTAAATAGAAATGGTGCTGCCTCTCCAAGGCAGTCGGTTTTAAAGTTTGGGTGGAGCAGGAATTAGTGTGGTGCAACTGCACCACTACACTGCCCTAGATGTATGCCTTGGAACTATACATAGAGGAAACAACCTGAACATTTTTGCACCCGTAATTCAGTTATTTCAAGTCTATGAAAAGTACCAGTTCAATAGCTATGTTCATATTTCTTCATCTTGCAGGGCATAACACTGAAGGAGTTCAACAGATTATCTTTTGATATGATTTTGATGAGTCCTCCCTGTCAGCCATTTACAAGGTATGTATAACAAATCTTCCAGTTTTGGAGAAAATACAGTGTGATGCAGTGTGTCATACCACTATTAGATCAAAAGAAAAGAGTTTTCAGCAGTGATACAATATGTGATTCATATTTGTCTGCATCTTCCCTGAGAGCTACTGCTTTTCAAAAAGCAGAGATTATAATATTTAGTTCTGTATTTACCAGCATGCAAGAATGATAGCGAGTCAGGCATGTGATTATACTAAGTAATTTTGGCTGAATTATTAAGCTTGGTGTCCCACTTATTTTACATCCTGGACTTTAGTTCAAAAAGTAAAATTTGGAGGGTCTCCCTTTTAAGAGCGCTCCCTCTGTGCTAATGGTCAGATGCTAATAATTTCTGTCACTGCAGGAGGATTGCTGAAGTTACTTCCAGGTTTAGAACAGAAAGACCACAGGCAGGATCTGCCCTTGTATGTGTGCTGAAAAGATTGAGCACTAACATACTCTGGAAGTGCATTTTCATTCTTTAGAGAGATGATAAGGCTATGACCCTGAAGGCAGGTGGGGGTGATGGACATTGTGCACAGGCAGACATAACATTTGTTTTGATATCAAAGGAGACTGGGATAAGCTGTTACCATTTAGATGTTATGTCTGCATGATTCTGTAGTTTATACAAGTGTAGCAAAATCACTCCAGTGGTAACCCTGCCTTGTTCAGGGTTAAATAGATTTAGTTAGCTTGTATCACTGCAGGATCATGCAGATAGATAGTTGCTGCTGCATGCTCCTAAGCTGCAGCTCTCGCTCCTCTGTCAAGGAAGCTAAAATATGTGTTTGTCCATACCCTTTGATACCTGTACAGAACTCTGAAAAAACATTAATCAGAGATGTTTTGTGTTTTATAAGGTATCCAGGTTGTAGCCATATTGGTCTAGAGGAAAACGCTTATGTTTTGTAAGAAACTCTGAGAAGACAAGCGGATCATTGTATTCAGTACATGTATTTTATTTCTTTATCTTTATTTTCTCTTAGAATTGGCCTGCAAGGTGATGTATCTGATCCAAGGACAAAGAGTTTTATTTATATCCTTGACATTCTCCCAAGGTATAAATGAATTTCTAGTGGAGCCCTTCTCAATCTTTTTAGTTCATTATGCAGTTACAAATGTTATTGAATTGCAAACTGTCTATATCAAATTATACAGATATTTGTCTTGTGTTCATGTAGTTGTTTTTGTATGATTTTATATAAGCTGTAAATGCAGTAGAATACAGCTCATTTATATCTGGGTGGCTTGTAGCCCGTTGAGTTCACAGCAGGTTGCTAAATTGGGCTGCTCGCAGGTTTGGTGTGGTTCTTACTTCCAAGGGTGTTGCTTCCAACTCAGCAGGAATTCAGCAGTGGTCTCACACAGCTCTGCCCCCTGAAATAATGAAAACCCCAGCTAACAACCGGACTACCTCAATGGCGTGGCACAACTGTTTATGCAGCTCTGTATACTCCAGGTACTTCACAAGACCTTATTAGGGCTGTCAGTTGGTTCTTGTGTTCATTTTTTTTAATGCAATTACCACGCCTGGTTCTGGAACCCGCACCGTCACCACCACCTCTGGGCTGCCCAGCAGGGCAGCAGTGGCAGTGCTTCACAAATTCCCCCCCAACACATACACACACCCTGCACCCACCCCCCACCCATACTAAGTACCTGCATAATTTTGCATAATTTTGAGTTTTTAGCGGTGTGATTAAAATTGCAGTGAACTGCAACTAATTTTTTAATTGTGCAACTAATCATGATCAAATTTTTAAATCATTTGACAGCCCTATACCTTATCTTTGCAGAGGGGTAAGGAACCTAACCCATGCAGTTTCCACTGTATGAACACATTTACTATTATACTAACACATTTACTTATTGCACTAAAACACTTAGCATTGTTTTAGTCTTCTGTGTTTCATTTTTATCTCTTTCATATGTCTCCGTAAAGGTAGTCAGCCATCTTAGCCTGAAGTTAGGGGGTACCTTAGAAACTAACTCATTTAGAGAGTTAGTGAAATCTCTTGTGAAATCCCTATTGCTGAATAGAACTGGATACCAACCTAAGGATTTAAGTGTTGCCATGGTGTGGGATCAGCCATCCATTAACCAACCATTCCTTGAGGATCCTGCTTATTCAGGAGATTGAGACAGACTGCTCATGACCTCTTCTATTTGATAATCTTACTGGCAGAGGAGGAGCAGTGATTTGAGATTTTGGGCAGTCAGAAATCTAACAATTCTGTTGATCTTGAGAGATCAGGCTCTTCATCTTTCTTCCAGATAAAATCCTGATCAGGCAAGGAGGTGATCCCAGGGATCCTGGCTGTTGCAGAGGTCTCTGAGTCAAAACTTTCCTAGTAGTTTGAAAGTTCTTGGCATGTCAAAGCAGCATCAGTTAAGGGAACTTATTTTATTTCATATTCTCTGACCCTGATATTGTGTCACTTTGCCTGGGGCTGACATTCATATGTCCTGCAACATGTATGTCTATTGTATTGTCTTGTGATGGAAGATAGTATACTGGGTAGTCAGAACCCCCATGCATTATTCTTAGTGATTCTCAACCTTTTTAGACTCAAAACCTCCTTCCAAATCTTTTCAAAATTAAGCAGCACTCCATTTTCAAACAACTGATTTATGCATATTGTAATATAAACATTATGTTTTTGTTATGAATGAATATTTTGCATATTTCTGTTATGATAATTTGTAATTGATTTTAGATCCATTGTATTCACCCACTATGCAGCTCACACCCTGCAGAACCAGATCAGAAAGTGCACACTCTTGCCACAGCCCTTCCTGGTTTGATCCTTCAGGGTGCCTCCCAGAAACAGAGGTGTGTGGGGCAGATGAAAGTCTTCCATGCAGCTCTGTTTTCAGGCGACACGTCAGAGCCAGACTGATAAGTGGCCACATTATGCAGGCAGGTGCACCATTTCTGCTGCAGCCATTCCTAGTTTAGCTTCAATGTGCCTCCTGAAAATGGGTGTGCAGGCCGTTCTATCTGGTGGCAGTGGCATCTCTCTCCAGGCTGCCCCTACGACCAGGCAGAACTGTCCCATGCACTTCCATTTTCAGGAGACATGGTGGAGCCAAACTGGGAACAGCTGCAGCAGAAATGCCATAGAATGACATAAAATTAGAGTTGGAAGGGACTTCAGGAGGTCATCTAATTCACCCCCCAGCTCAAAAGCAGGACCATTTCCGACTATATGATTCCAGCCAAGGCTTTTGTCTAGCTGGGCCTTAAAGACCTTCAAGGATGGAGATTTGCCAGCCTCTCTGGATAACCTGTTCCAGTGCTTTACTACACTCCTGGTGAGAAAGTTCTTCGTAATATCTAATCTAAGCTTCCCTTGCTGCAACTTGAGACCATTGCTCCTTGTTCTGTCATCTGCCATGACTGAGAACAGTTTAGCTTCATCCTCTTTGGAACCACCATTTAGGTAGCTGATGACTGCTATTAAATCCCCCTTCAGTCTTTTCTCCAGACTGAATAAGCCCAGTTCCCTCAGCTTCTCTTAAGTCATGTGCCCCAGTCCCCTAGCCATTTTTGTTGCCCTCTGCTGGGCTGTCTCCAATTTGTCCACATTCTTTCTGTATTTGGGGTCCCCAAACTGAACACAGTACTCCAGATGTGACCTCACCAGTGCTGAATAGAGGGGAAGGATCACTTTCCTTGATCTTCTGGCAATGTTCCCACTAATGCAGCCTAGTATGCCATTAGCCTTCTTGGCAGCGAGGGCACACAGTTGGCTCATGTTAAGCTTACTGTCCACTGTAACCCCCAGGTCCTGTTCTGCACAGCTGCTGCTTAACCAGTCAGTTCCCAGCCTGTACTATATAATGTAATGAGGGTAGGCATGCCTTTCTACTGCAGCTGCTTGTCAGTTTGGCTCTGATATGCCTCCTGAAAACAGGTGTGTGAGGTAATTTCACCCTGTAGCAGTGGAGGTAGCAGTGGCAACATTGCAGCCCCCTGGCAGGTTCTCATAGTTGAGAACCACTAATCTGTCTACTAATATCAGTAATATCCAAGAAGTCTGTCTAAGGGGTAAGTGGTCTCATCCCCATTTTACAGTTGCGAGCTGAGGGACAGTAAAGCTGAATGACTTGTTTGAGGTCACACAGTAAAGCTGCATTGGAATGTACAGAGCAGCAAACCTAGACTCCCTCCCCTCTTCCCCCCATCCCCACCTTTTTCAGGGTAGAAAAGGGAAACATATTAAAGCATTCATCTAACATGAAACTCATGACCAATGAATGGTTCTTTATCTCTTTGATGGTAGTGAGTAAAATCAGCACCAAGTTACTAAATACCATACTTTCTTACATTCATGTCCCTGAATAAGATACACACTTTGTTTTTGAAAGGCAGAATGAAGAAAGGAGGGCTTTTCCTTGAAAATATTGGTAAGTAGTAGTAAGTAACTGAGTAATAGTTTATGTATCGGGACCTCTGCCAGGAAGAAGGAGAAAGTGTCCGTATCCAGCGACTAGAGAATCCCACCAGAAACACTGCATCATTACTTTTTCCCAGCACAGGCATTTTGTTATACCCATATTTCTTCACTTACAAAGTATGCCCTACTTTTCAGCAGTTGAATTGTAGAAAAAAAGGTACAAATTGTATGTGAGAAAATACAGTATTTTGCCGCCCTTTATCAAAATGTGAATGAAATTCTCTAAAGGATGGTCTGTTGTGGGTGGCTGAGCTGGCTGAACCCAAGCCCCACACAGTTCAGCTTGGTTCCAGGTTTGCTGCACACAGTACAGATTGAGCTTAAAGAAATGACACAGTGAATTTAAGTAGAGAGCTTTTAATCACTCTTAGCTGGACAGTTAAACCATCTGGCAGATGGGAAATGCATAAGGGTTTGCATGTCCGGAGTATGATAATACAGTTATATCTTTTTACCATTTTTCTACATTGAATAACTATAAGAGCCAGTCAAATTCTAACACAGACACATGCAGAGTACCCTGTTTCACTGCTTTGGTATATGTTCCAGTTGGTTGTCCCCTTATTGTTCAACCTCTTTTCCAGTCTTCCTGGAAAATATGTTACTTTACTTATCATCCAGATGTGATTTGAAAGGGGCATGAAACTCCCTGCTTATTATATGTTTTAGTAAGTCCAACTAAGCCTGATCACGTTTCAGGAAGGAAGAAAAAAGCAGGGAAATTGTTTAGAAGCTGATACCTTGTTAAACTAAGGAGAAGGAGAGAGCTGAAGAGCAAGGGAAACCTACTAGAAGCTGAGGCTGTATTAAGCCAAGGTTTTACTGAAATCTTGGTGGGACAGTGGCAGGGTCACAGGTCTGTCCAACATTGTCTTCTAATGCTTTTTTGTTTTCCTAAGTCACACATATTTAATATACTCAAACAAGTATGAATGTGAACAGTCATTTGCATTATGTAGGACTTAGAGACCTCAGTGAGATTGGTTAGGTGCTATATAAACATATAGTGAAAGAGTTCCTACAAAAATTATTTTGTGATCAAAATTGGTAACTCAGAGAAATGATAGGTAAATGTATTATTTTCCTCCTTTTATGAACTGGGTTTTAAAGTCAGAAGATTAGGTTACTGGTCCAAACCCATTGTCCAAAGGAAATCTCTGGTTAGGCTGGGAACTGAACAGCAATCCTAAATTCCATGCACTATAACTGTAAGGTCATCCTTCCATGATACTACATTAAAAAGGGGAAACATTAGGATTGAGTTAATAGCCCATTAGAGAGGTAATACTGGATTCCAATTGCATTCTGTAGATTCCAGGTAGATTTACAAGGGAATGTAAAAGAGGAAAGCTCTTCTTTGGAAACAGTAGTTACTGTCTTGTGCAAACATCCTGGTCACTGTAGTGATAAAACATTAATATGACAGAAATTTTTCCTTTTCAGAAGCCAACTCTCAGACACTCCAGGGCACTCCTCCCTCTTGATGATGCAAAGGAGTTAGGCTTGGCTTACAAACTTTATCTGGAAGTCCCACGAGATGCTTTCAACCTCCCTTATCTCCCTTAGGCAGGTTGTTCCTATGAAGTAGTAGTTTCTACAGACACCACAACAAATGAGGGGAGCTGTTTCTGCAGTTTCCCAGCTCCAACAGGTTATGTTTTACAAAGATAGCATTCACACGAGTTTTGGAAATTACAACTTCAGTGGAGACTAAGCCCAGAGAATTAGAGTTTAAAATGGGAGATGATTGATGCCATTCTATGTGGTAAAATGTAGGAGTTGTTATTTTACATTCTTCATTGTGATTTGCACAAATTTCATGCAAAGTATCATAACACAGTTCTGTCTTTCTTGTCTGATTCTACCTTTTCCAGCCTCTTATAAAGAAAAACAAATGAAGTGCGACTTTAGGTGTGGCTGAAAGTGGCTGAGATATGAAGCCCAGGGCAGGGACAATTTGAGAGCTGAATGTGGGCAGAAACTGTGGTCTTCAGCCAGTGGACATGTAGTCTAGCCACAGAATATTCTTGGTGCCCTATGTCTATGAGCATAACCTCATACAACCTACTGCAAGCATATCAAAGTTTGTCTTTACCTTAAGGAAGAACAGTGCTGCTCATTTTGTAGACATATTTTAAGTGTTTGTGTTTGGCAGGTAACCTCAAGCTATATTGCCTCCTGAGAGTGCAGCTGTAAAGTCTCAGGCTGAACTATGCATTTGTGACTCTAGATTTGAGCTCTGTGATAGAAGCTGGATTTCTTTCGATTTGGGGTAAACTTAGCAAGTCACTGTCTGGTGATGTCTTAGAGGCTTGGCCTCTTCTTTCTTTTTTATTTGCTTTTATTTTTACACAGCCTCTGAGAAGTTTGCATCAATTGGTGGTCTTACTTTAACTGACTGGGTTCAAACAGAAGTAATTTCTGAAATGTTTTCAAGTGTAGTAAGTGGCACCCATAGCCCTCCAGCCAGGGAGTATTACAGCAGGCTCCATATTGGGGTGAGGCAGGAGGGCACTAGCGGGTGGGGGGCTGGCAAGATCTTTTTGCTGCCAAGATTCTAACACTCTGGCTCCAAATATCCTGTACTTCTTGCAGCGTGGAGAAGTAGACATGAGCCCATTTCTGGTGGTGGTGAAGGCCTGGAAAGTGGTAAAGTGGAGTGGGAGGTATGGAAGTCTGCAATGGTAACAGGGACCCCTCACTGTCATGATCACAGCTTCTTAGCCCCAAGACCCCAAATCTTTTCTCTCCCAGTCTTTGGGTAGAAACATAGAGGGAAGGATTGAGGTTTGGGGAGCTTGGTTCTGGTTGTGGTTGTAGGGGGAGGTAAACAGAGGTTTCCAGGAGGAATAGGGTTTCAGTGGAGAGTGCAAAGGCCCCTTCCAGGCTGTCCACAATGCTCTCCCTCCTTCCCCCATGGAAGAAGTGGGAGAGCAGAGCACTGGGATTTGGAGGACCTATAAGTCTCCTGTCCCTGCACACATGTAACAAAAAGTGAAATGCTTCAAAACAATACAGGGGTGTAGGTTGTAGCCATGTTGGTCTAAGGACATAGGCAGCCAAGGTTCTTTGGGTGAATCTGCTCTCTTTTATTAGACTAACTAAATAGTTGGAGAAAAAATTTTAAGCAAGCTTTCAGGTTCAAAAACCCTCCATCAGGCTAAGGAAGTTTTGGCAGTTGGTGTTTGCTCTTCCTGGGCGGAATGAAAAGTAAAAAAGCCAGAGGCTCGGCTGGTATGCACACAAGACAGGCTGTCAGTGAAAATGTAGATTGAGAAGTCAATGGGTGAGAGAGAGGCTGGGTGTGGGGGAGAGAAGGGGGATGAACAGTGGAGAAGTACCTGGGAAGTCAGCTGTCAGGCAGGTTATAATGTGTCAGAAATCCAATGTCTATATTTAGTCCATGATTTTTAGTGTCCAGGAGGTTGATGAAATGGAGTCATAGTATCATCTCTGGGAAGTGTTTTGTAAGTTTCCTTTGAGGATCAGGACTGAGAGATTGGAGAGAGAGTGGTTGTCTTGTGAAAAATGGGCCCCCACAGGTCATCGGGTATTCCTGTCTTTGATAGATTTCCGGTGTACATTCATTTGGTGCACAGTTGTTGTTTGGTCTCTCCTACGTATTTTCCATCTGGGCATTTGGTGCACTGGATGAGAGATATTACATTTCTGGAGGTGCAGCTGTAAGATCCAGGAATGCTGATGGCTCTGTTGTGGGGCGTAGTAATTGTGGGGGTGGTGGAGATGTGTTGGCAGGTTTTGCATTTCTTGTCATGGCAAGAATCATGGACTAAATATTATCAGTGTTTGTGTTATTGTAGTTTAGGTGTATTTTCTGATGCAGATCCTTTGCCCCCTTTTTCCTCTCATGTTTGTAAATATCTGTTTTACTAGCCTAGGAGAACACTACAAAGCTCATATGTGTGATGTCAGCCAGAGCAAAATGGAGATGTGGCCACCTCCAGGGGATGGTGATCATGGAATAAGCTTGTTTCTTTTTGCACTGATGACATTAGGCTTCAGACTTGCCCCACTGAAACCATATATATAGCACATTTCTCTGAAAGTTAATTAGATATAATGGGAAATGTCTGAAAGCAAAACTTTCTGAAGACAAAGAAGTTACTAAAACAAAACCAATTAGATGAACACTAGACTTGTTCCTCCTCTCACTCAAGTTGGTGGGAATTTTGATGTTGAGATCAATAACGTGACTTGTTTTATTGCAATTTTCCAGTGCATAGAACGAGTGCCTTAAGTGTGCCTTATTATCTTTTGAATGACAATGTTATGCTTCAATAAATCAATAAAAGTAGCATTTTCAATTTATGCTTGGGGTTAATTTGGCTCTGAAATCAGAAACTAGCCCTGGAGCAAATGTGACTAAATTGGGGCACCGAATGTGAGAAGAGTGGAATCCACTTATGACACCATTTTACTTGACACTAGCCATTTGCCAGATCCCATTGATTTTGATATTTAAGGCACTGCTTAATCCAAATTAAGTGACTGCTGATTCATACAGGAACAGTGTATGCTCAGCTGTTTGCATCTCATCAAGGTTTGTGTTCTTTTTACAGAGGACATACTCACCACTTGCACAGCTATTTACACTTCATTAAGGCTCCTTATCTTACTCTGAGGCTTTACATTTCTGCTAGTAGTCTTGAAATTGACAAGACCTAGTCTTTTCCTAGTGGCACTAGGTGCCTGTGCACATGTGGGACATTTGTTCTGACACATTCTAATTAGAACGTGCTGGAGCAAGCAGACTTGATTGATCAGGGGTGTGCATCAGGCTCTGTGGGAACGTCTGTTCATCATAGTATCCCAAGGGATAACAAGGACCAACAGTCACAAACTCCTCCGTGATTGTTTTAGTCTGGACATAAAGCAAAACTTCTTTACTGTCTGAGCCCCCAAGCCCTGGAATAGACTCCCTTCAGAAGTGGTGCAGGCACCTACTCTGGATTCATTCAAGACACGTTTGGAAGCTTATCTTGCTGGGATCCTTTGACCCTAACTGACTTCCTGCCCCTGGGGCAGGGGGCTGGACTTGAGGTCCCTTCCAGCCCTAATGTCTAAGAAATCTATGAAGTCTGCTGGAGTGTTTGCTGTCACATGTATTCAGCATCCCCACATTTTAAAATGGTAACAAGGGTGCTTTAACTAAAGCTCGTCAAACAGGTGTCTAATTAGAATGCTTCAGCAGACTGAATCCAAAGAGCTGCTCTAATTAAAACACTCCCCACCCTGGAGCATGTCTATAGATGCCTACTATCAGTAGTTGAGATGGACTTCTTGGATTAACCACCTATGACGCACAGAGGCAGTTGTCTGATTGCCAAATTAACCTGCTATATGTGATTTAAATTGCATCACTTAACTGTTTCCTGTTGCCAAACAAATTTGTGGTGTTTATTTAATATGGTTTGTATCTTAATACACTAAACTGACTTTTCTTATAGGCTACAAAGACTGCCAAAATTCATACTTTTAGAAAATGTCAAAGGATTTGAAATCTCTTCTGCCAGGTATTGTATGATCAATGATTAGTTCCTTTTTATTCTTGTTTTATTATTACAGAGTGCTTCACTGTTATAAGTGCAACTTTAAGTTTACAATGAAAATGTTTATTTGAAAGGAAATTGTTGATGTCACCTACTTGTTAAATTTTTTTTTCTAACTTGAACAAGTTAACATGCCTGCCTGCCCACCTGATCTGTTGTCTTACTGCATTTGGGGAAGGGTGTATGCTAATTTTCAATAATAACGTGCACCATAGATGTGCAGCTCTCAACGTTTTTACTGATGGTAGAAACTTCAGGGTTCCTTTGTAGTGATCATAATGGAGGTAGATGGAGAGCCATGTTAGTCCTAAATCACTCAGAAAGCAGGGTAGAGAAGTACCTCTGTAAACTATCCAAAGCAGAAATGCATAAGCTTTTATGAGCAATAGTTCATTTCCCCAGATTATCTGAAAGGACATGCAGAGAGCAGGCTATCAAGCAGAGAAAGTGAACTGAATACTGAAGACAGGGAATGGGGGTGGTGCTAAGAGAAGCAAACAAATAAGCAAGTAATAAACCTATAGAGACACATAGGGATAAAAAAAGCTAATCCAAGTAATGAGTCGCTGTGTTTGACAGCTTGTTCTCTCCATGTCCTTTCATAACATCTGATGAGGGGAGCTCTTGTGCACGAAAGCTTACGCATTTTTTCTTCAGTTATTCCATAAGGTGCAGCTGAACCCTGCCTTCCATAGTAGAGGTGTAAGGGTTAGCTGATGGTTTTTTATCCTTAAATCAGTTGATTGACTACAGACTCTGAGAACCAGTCATTGATTGTCCATTGGTGTGATGGCAGCAGCTAACTGTCCAAAGAGAAGTTTAGGAAAGCATGTATAACTTTTAATTGTGAAATTTGTTACTGGGGTGTAATGGGCGCCTAACCCTAAAACAGAAGCATAATTTCTTCTTGCAGGTAGGGAAGAGGTTTTAGGATAGTTATCCTCCTCATGCCTTGTGCTGATGGGATGGGATCTTTCCATTAGAGCAGTGGTTTTTAACATGTGCCCTGTGGACCCCTGGGGGCCTACAGATTATGTTTAAGGGATCTACAAAAATGACTATGATCAATTAGAAGTATGCAAATAGCCACACTTACAATTCAAAGGGGTATGCACCTCCATTCAGAAATGTTTAGGGGTCCACAAATGGAAAAGATTGAAAACCCCTGCATTAGAACATATGGGGTAACTGGTTAATGTGCCAGCCTGTGCATTGCCACTGTCCTTAATAAGGATAGTCTTGTCTGTTAGGAGGCATTTCCAGCTTTCCAAGTAGAAACATACACTGCCTTTGCACATAAGAGCTGCATACTGCCCACATATGCCCCCAAGCCTGCCTTGAATCCTGTCCTAAAGACAGAATGATCTATATGTCAAAGGATACACCAGGAAGCACTTCTCCTTTTTTATGTGACACTCCCTAGGGAATGATTTAAATCATAGCTGGTACTTTCTGTGGAGCTGAAGCCTGCAAGTAGACTGTAGGGTACAGTTAAGCTTTTATTCAGAGATCCTTAGTAAGCAATTTTCCATTGTAACGGGCTTCCCCAAATACGCAGAGAACATTTCTACTTCACTTTGATTAGGAGAGCTCCCCAGTTAAGCAAACAACGTTTGCCATTCTCTGAAGTGATCACTTTGAACAGGCTTTGCTACACAGTACTGTGCTGGCATAGCACCTAAATAAACAAACTGGCAGTAAAGAGAAGCAGATCCTGGGTGATCAGATAAAGAATGGTCACCTGTAGGAGTTTTAATATCTTGCTTCTAACCCACTGTAAACTATTTGGTAATCCACATCTCAGGAGAATATGTTTCCTGCTTGTTATTTTTGCTTCTGACATGTTGCAAGTACTTTTTCTAGCAATGGGAGACTTTTTTGGAGGAATGTTTGTCCCTAAATAGATGTGGAGTTCCCATGGATGTCTGCAATCATGCTTCGCTTGGCTGGAATAACACTGATCTTTATATACCCTTTTCAGAGACTCAGAAGCGTGTGACTAGCTGGATATGTACAAAGCTATATTTAATCTTTGTTGTGTGACTGCTAATTGTCTAACACCTACAGATCTTCGTTTAATGGAACTTTATTTAAGGGGAAAATGGAAATGGAAAGCATATGCATTATATAGCTAATTGCTTATGGAAAATAATTGGCTTTTGTTTCTTCTCATTGCCAGAAATGAATTTGTACAAACTCTAGAGGCATGTGGATTTAAATATCAAGAATTTCTCTTGTCTCCAACATGTGTGAGTAGTAAGATTATAACAACTCCTCATCAAACTGTACCTTACATGGGGTACTTGGAAAGGATTTTACATGCTTGAAGAAAAACATTCATGTTTAGACTATTCCTCTGGATAAGTCATGCCATCTAATTTAGCTTCTGGCTAGGTCAGGGTCAGTACATATATGCCTCTATTCTTAAGTGTTGTTCAAAGCCCATTCCTGTAATGATTTAACAGCCATTGGATATGTTTTAAGTCGATAGGAATTTTATTTGTGGAAGACATAAGAGATCTGGCCCTTAAAATGCTAGCTAGAAATCTCTGCATCTTTGAGATAGTAGCTTGGGAAGTGTACATTAAAAAAAGCACTGTTTCATTATGACTTGCCTCATCCAGTTCCTCATTCATGTGATAGAACATGCCAGATAAAGGGCAGCATGTTTGCCCTAAAACGTAGGTCTAGAAACCATTTCAGTTTCTTTCACTTCCCTTTACACTTTATTTTTTTGTAAATTTTCTATCGATGTGTTGGAGGAAGAAGCAGAAATATGAAAAAATGATCCATGTGTTTAAGAAAATTAGATAGGAAAAGTGTGATGACAAGTACAATAAACCAGTTACCACTCTGTTGCCTGTGTTGTGGGAAATGAGGGCATTCATCATATTGCTACTATATAGGAAAACTGGGGTTTTATGGGTCATGAAAAATTAATTCTGCTCTTCACAACAAACTAACAGTGGTCCTTCATGACAAACTAACAGTGTTGAGATTTCTGCATGGGTGCATTTTAAAACCCTTTTGTGCCAGTTGAAAATAGGTTTAATTTAGATTAATGCTAATGTATTTGTGGTGGGAAAACAATAGAATGTTTTTTTATTAATATAAAAAGTGTAACTAGCAGTTTTCATGACAGCACAAATCATTTTGCCATTCTGTCATGTAGACTGACTGCCTGGGGGGTTTTGCTTGCAGCTTGGCATTCCAAATTCTAGACTGCGATATTTTCTGATTGCAAAGCTTCATTCAGAGCCATTTTCCTTTCAAGCTTCAGATCAGGTGAGATTTATTTCTGTTCCTTAACTACTCTTTCTTTTTCTGAAGACTGGGGGATACATCTTCAGCTGTGCCCAATTGATGCTCATCTTAGCTGTGTGAGCATGTGTGAGGGAAACAGCTTTAAGCTACCTTCTAATTTCTTCCTCACAGACCCATTAAGGACTGAAATAGTGCCAGTCACTTACCTGACTTATACAAGTCTTTACAGGCATATCTCTGGATGAGGACAGACCAAAGTACTGAACTCTTTGTCATGATCCCCTATAGCCAGTGGAATTTTTTTCTTGAAAGGGTGACTGTATGCAGTTATGGCTGCTAAGACTTTTAGGGAGAGATAAAATTGGGGACTGTGCATAACCATCATTGAGGAGGACCTGGCCAATGAGGCCCAGAATATTGTGTGATGAGTGACGGTGATAAATTGCTACCTAATGCCCAGGAGAGGTAAAAGGTAAGGTAAAAAGGAGAAGGGCATCATGGTTGGGGAAAAGAGTGAAACTTACCCAGGATTTACCAAGTATTTCAGTAAACCTACCCTGAGTTTTAGGTTACAAATCAAGCCCCAAAGGACACTATTTTCATCTGGTTCTTGTGCATCTAAAAATGCATCTAAAAAAGGTTAGTACTTAATAATACCAAAATCATTTAAAAATCTTTATAGAAAGAGAGATAATAAAGTCATTGTTGTATTTTAGATAGGAATTGCTTTATCACTGCCTGAAATTAATTGGTAGTTGCACAATACAAGTACGCTACTGTAATCTTTTGCATATTTTATTTCATGCTAGTTATTGACGTATTTCCCAGATGAGGAGTCAAATAATTCAGTGAAATACAAAGTTCCTCTAGGCTTAGAAAAAGACAATTCATCCACACTTACTGAAGAGGAAAACCTTGAGCCAAACTCTGGTTTTGATTGTGGTGAGAGGCAGTGTTCATCAAAGGAAGCCTTTCTTTTTAAACTTGAAACAATGGAAGAGATGAAAAGAAAGCAGAACCAGGACAATGATTTCTCGATGCAAGTACTAAAAGACTTCCTTGAAGGGGACAGTGAAGAAATGAGCCGGTACTACTTGCCACCCAAATCCTTACTACGCTATGCTTTCCTATTAGACATTGTTAAACCCACCTGCAGAAGGTCCACATGCTTCACAAAAGGGTAAGTCTCAATGAGATCTATGAGTGGACCTTACCTAGATGTTCTAAATGCAAGCCTTACTTTGCAGTCCTTTTGAACACCAGAAACAGCATTTAATTAAAAAAGAGGCCTTTCTGGAACAACTTTTCTTGTAGCACACTTTCTGATCCAGTAAAATACTAGCATGAGAATCAGTCTCTCTCTGGCAGAATATCATGTGCGCAGTCCAAAAAGAGGTCAACAATGCTTCTTGTTTCATGACCTTCACAGAAGCTTAATTATCTCTGCGGAAATATGGTTCCAGCAGGCTGGTAGAGTAGTAATTCATTAATGAATTCCTTTATGTTGCTCACTGAAGTTACAAAGCAGTATGCATGACAGCTCCATTCCTTATAACTGTATCTACATTTTATAGATGTTGATATTTTCGAGAGTGGGGCCAGATCCTTGGCTTTTAGGTCAGAATAGCTCCATTAACTTTAAAGAAGCTTTGCCCATTGAGGATTGCTGTTCTTTAGTTATTACAGCAACAGTTAAATTTTTAATGCAGAAAAAACACAAACAATGACTCTTTCAGATCAGTATTTGGGACCTAGTTGTCTGGTAACTTCCCAAATTATATTTTGTGTATTGATGACCTGATTATACAAGGTGCTAAATGGTTATCAGAGCTGGTCAAGAATTTTTAAGCTGTATATGTTGACAAAAATGCTGAACTGTCAAAAAACTATTTTATAGAAAGCATTTGATTTCAATAGTTTCTGAACAAAAAGAAATGTGAAAATGGTTTTTGGAAACTTTAAAATATTTCTTTTTCACATTTTCAAAATAGAAAATTCTGTTTCTTAGTGTGAAATTTTGTTTCTTAAAGACAATTATATACTAATTTTCTAAAGAAAATTGTAACAAAAATCAATCAGCTGGCACAAACCTTTTTCTTTCTGTTTGTCTTTTCAGTTCATGAAAATGTTGAGATTTAAACTTTGACACGATGCAGTTTCTCAAATGTGTGACAGTTCCACACTATATAATATGTGTTGTATTTACAATTGTCACAGTACAAGTCTTTTAGACAAGGGCCTTGTTTATATTTTATAGATGCCAAGAAAAAGATTACTGATTAAAATAAAGATTTGAAATACCAGTATAGGAAGCTGTAATTATTCATGTTTTGTCCCAAATCCATTTATTTATACAAGTATATACAGAATATTCCATTTAAGTATGTTGCTTTGGGACTGAAAAAAGACTGGCATTTATCAGAATTCAAAATAAACAATACTTGCTAGTTTAGGGATCAACCCAGGCTAAGTTTTTCCACCTCGTGAATCTTGTTACTTTGTTTGGGAGAAGGCCTTATGCCTCTAGCGGCCCGAAATAGACAGAATTTTTCCAGTTCAAGATTGCTTTAGAAACTCTGAAATAGACACCTGCTACTCAGGTTTACCAAGTATGAAATTAAAGAGTTCAGTTAGGTTAGGGCTGTCCAATTTTTGTGCAGCTAGGGGTATGTGCAGCTACAGGGGACAACACCTTTCGGCATCCTTCGTACTGTGCAGGCTGTACCAGCAGAATGCCACTTCCCACTCCCTGCCACTCGGGCTGGACTGTTAGCATGCAGCTCCTTCGCTCCTTACCACATAGGCTGTGCTGGTTACATGTAGACCCCTAAGTCCTCCCCTGCAGCAGGAGAGGCAGCTGTCAGGGCCCATGGGCCACCAGTTGGAGAGCCCTGAGTGAGGTTGTGACAGTGAGGCTGAAAAATGCTATGCCCTTAAATGGTTTGTACACTTAACTGATATGCACATAACCACTGCTTGGTATGATGTAAGAAATAGGCAGCAGATTAGGACTGGCATTGTGTTATGCAATGATGCAAATTACTCTGATGTGTATAAGCAGAGCTTGGTGAAGTGAGGGTTCCCATCCGGAGTGCCATGAGATGCGGTTAGTAGAGAAGACCCTAATGAGGCCAAAGAATATGTGGGGCACTTTAACTTGCCCATGATGGCATGCAGTTGAGAACCACTGAGGTAAATTGGGGCAGCATGATGGTCGTTCTTAACTGAGGTGCTGCTAAATTCAGAAAAGTTGGGGGTGTGTGCTGTGACTTTAAACAGGTTGAGAACCATTGATGTAGTGAATGATGCATTGGAATTCCTTGGTAATGTTGAAAAAATAGATTTAAAAGACTTGTTCCCTCTTCCCACCCTCCCCACCCAATTTAGCCTATTAATTACTGACCATACATTTAAAATGTGAATCGGTTACTTTTTAAGACCTGGCCCTGATTCTGAAGAGCATTTACTTATCCTTAACTTTAAGCATGTTACCACTGCTACTGACTTTAATTGGACTGCTGAATACTTAAATGCCTTGCTAGATTGGAGCAGGTGTACCTAGCACCTTACATGGCTGAGCCCTTACAGGGTTATTGCACATAAGAGAAAACATTTTTCTCCTTTTTCTCCTGTGGTATGTAAAGGCTAATACAAACTTGGGGTACCACATAAGAGTGCACTGGACACAGCAGACCCAAAGAAACCATACAGAGCACCATGCAACAGTCCTTTCAACAGGGATGCCGAGAAAATTTTAGAGAGGATAGTAAAGTAAGGATTTAGTTGATGGGGAGTGTGACCTATGACGGTCTGTTGGACAGATGATCCTTCCATGATTGCTTTGTGCAAAGCCCATCCATTTCACTCTCTAAATCTCTGTGTTCAGGACATACTTGCACAATGCTATCATGCAAACAGAGCTTCTTTTTGAGTCTGGCAAGCCTATAATTATATTTAAATGATAGCCTGTGAGAGACTATAGAGTAAACATGTATTTACAGAATAAACCACAAAGACCGCAAAAAAGCCCTAGTATGGTTTATAATGTCCACTCTCTTATTACACACTGGTTATTTTTTCATGTCTTTTTTTTAACTGTTAAACAATAACTCCCCCACCCCACAAAAAAAACTAACAAAGACTAATGCAACAATCTGACTGAATAACTTTGCTCTTTGCGCATCAGAAGGACAATTTTAGGTTCTTGGTGATGGCCATATCTTCCTATGAATTCAAGGAGCCCGGTTTCAAAAATTGCAAGTAAAATGGATGTTAAATTGGACAAAGGCCTGATTTGTGAGCCTAAGGAACCATTTTATACTTAAAAATGCAAGAGTTGGGTAGGCAGCTTAGGTGGCCTTTTTCAAGACATTATGCAAGAAATCCATGGCTAGTTGTACTATCTAGCACTAGCAAGACTAAATTCTTTATGCACTGATGGGAGAATAATCCTCAAAGATGATTTTCAGATGCTAGTCTAGCCTTCTCAGAGTTAGGATTTATTTTTTTTCAGAAGACTTTTTATGTGACCTTTCCAGGAGACTGTTAGCAACATCAAATTAACTTTTGTGCATTTCTGCCTTTCTCTGTAGTGTAAAGCCCAATAACATTTTTCATGTATGGTTTTGTTGTTCTCAAGGTACGGACACTATGTAGAAGGAACAGGCTCAGTGCTGCAGACAGCAGAGGATGTGCAGGTACAGGATGACTATTAAAACAGATCAAAGCAGATAGTATTAAAAATGTTTTTATCTATCCACTTCTGCTTAACTATTCTGGATTTATTCTAATAAAAATGTCTTAAGAACTAAATTGTATGGCACAGACTAGCTGTGTTTCCCTCTGATTCACTTAAAATTCTCAGATAGGGTATATTTAAGTGATGGCTTTATGCGGACCTTCACTTGCAATGGTGGGATACTAACATCACCTCTAGTGTCATGGCTGGGTGGGGAGGGGGTCACAGTGGTGCTTTCTCCAAGTTGGCATACAAAGCTGGTGCCCTGCTCAGCCCACCCTAGCTACACTACTGGCAGAAGGAATGCAGAACTGCAATTTAGAGGCACGCCAACTGAGCCAACTGCCCATAGCTTAATTTTAGTGGAGGCTGATATGTAGCTTCCCACTTACTGAGTCATCTCTTTTACCCTTCACAGAAGTTTATAGTTTTGTGGTTGCACATTTGAGTATGTTGAAAAAAATGATTGATTCCTTCATGGCAGCATGGTTATTTTCCTTGTAGTTACATTTGTTAAGATGTTGACTGCAGAGGTATAAGGCAAAGTATACTTTCAAATAAGAAATGCAGTTGCTGTGTTATCTTTGGCAACAAAGTCATCTGAGAAGCATTTCATAAAGATATGAATGTTGTGATGTAATTTTACATAGTCTTTGTTCATCATCCATATTTGTCTTGGACATTCTTTACAGCTTGAGTCAGTGTTCAAATCTATTGAGACATTATCAGAAGAAGAGAAGCTTAAGAGACTGTTGACGCTAAAACTGCGATACTTTACTCCTAGAGAAATAGCAAATCTCCATGGATTCCCTCCAGAATTTGGTACGTGCCCATTAAGCACCTCATTTCTAGTCCAGCCTTCAGAAGGGCAGCTAGAGTTTCCAGCATGGTATATTGAAGGGAATGTTCTGTGTTTTTTGTTCAATAATTCTTCTAATACATCTTTATTTTAAAAATAACTTCATTGTTGAAGTGGCCAATGAGGAGCAGTACTCTTTTTGACCTGCTGTTCACAAACAAGGAAGAATTGGTGGGGAATGTAGTAGTGGATGGCAACTTGGGCATCATTGACTGTGAGATGATTGAGTTCAAGATCTTGAGGAAAGGAAAAAGGAGAATAGCACAATAAGGACCCTGGACTTCAGAAAAGCAGACTTCTATTCACTCAGGGAACTGATGGGGAGGATTTTTGGGAGCCAGTCTGAGTGGGAAAGGTGTCCAGGAGAGCTGGTTGTATTTTGAAGAAACCTTACTGAGGGCACAGGAACAAGTCATCCCAATGTGCAGGAAGACTAGCAAGTATGGCAGAAGACCAGCTTGGCTTAGCAGGGAACTCTTGAATGAGCTAAAAACAAATAAAAGAAGCTTACAGGAAGTGGATACCATGGAGCAGGTCCTCAAGGAATCCATTTATAAGCACTGGAGGAGAAACAGGTGATCAGGAACAGTCAGCATGGATTCACCAAGGGCAAGTCATGCCTGACTAACCTGATTGCCTACTATGATGAGGTGACTGGCTCCGTGGATGTGGGAAGAGCAGAGGATGTGATATACCTTGACTTGAGCAAGGCTTTTGATATGGTCTCCCATAACATTTTATGCAAGATGTTAAGGAAGTACAGGTTGGATGAACAGACTGTAAAGTGGTTAGAAAATTAGCTGGGTCATTGGGCTTAGAGTGGTAATCAATGGGTCCATGTCTACTTGGCAGCTGGTATCAAGTGCAGTGCCCCAGAGGTCAGTCCTGGGGCCAGTTTTGTTCAATATCTTCATCAACAGTATGGAAGATGAGTTGATGTACACTCTCAGCAAGTCTGCAGTTTACACCAACTGTGGGGGAGTAGTAGATACACTGGAGGGTAGAGCTAGGATTCAGAGTGACCTCAACAAATTGCAGGTTTGGACCAAAAGAAATCTCATGAGGTTTCATAGTACATAGTTAGTAGGGTCGGAAGGGACCTGAGCAGATCATCAAGTTCGACCCCCTGCCATGGCAGGAGAGAGTACTGGGGTCAAATGATTGTCAAGCCTTGTCTTAAAGACCCCCAGGGTAAAAGCCAGCACCACTTTGCTTGGAAGTTGGTTCCAGATCCTAGCTGCCCTGACAGTGAAGTAGCGCCTCCTGATGTCTAATCTGAATCTACTCTCTGCCAGCTTGTGACCATTATTTCTAGTCACTCCTGACAGTGCTCAGGGGAACAGGGACTCCCCCAATGCCTGCTGGTCCCCTCTGACTAGTTTGTAACAGGCCACTAGATTCCCCCTCAGCCTTCTCTTCTGGAAACTGAATAGGTTCAGGTCCCATAGCCTCTCCTGGTAGGGCCTGCCCTGCTGCCCCCTGATCATGCAAGTGTCCCTCCTCTGGACCCTTTCCATGTTGTCCACATCCCTTTTGAAGTGCGGCGCCTAGAACTGAACGCAGTACTCCAGCTGTGGCCTGACCAGTGCCGCATAGAGGGGGAGGATCACCTCCTTGGACCTGCTCAAGATGCATCTGTGGATGCATGACAAGGTGCGGTTGGTCTTCCTGACTGCATCCCCACACTGCTGGCCCATGTTCATCTTGGCATCA